GTCAGATAGTGTAAGATATGACAAAATAATAATTTATAAATTATCAAGGGTTAATGAGGGAGGGAAGAGTTGGGATGGATGGCGAAAAATGAGGAGCTGAAGCCTAGGGCTAAAGTGGAGAGCAAATGTTTTAAGAATGATGAGGGCAACGAATATACAAATGTGCTTTACACAATTGATGTATGTATGGATTGTGATAAGAGTTGCATGAGCCCCCAAGAAAATGATAAAAAAATGTGTTGTTTTCAAGAAACATTGCATGCTACTCTAAATAATGAGTGTAGTATAAAAGTGCTTTAAATCAATACAGATAAGTTCCTTTACCTCACTACCAAAGACATTAATAATTTTGAGGAACCAGTTAATTACTACATAACAGTGCAATTCCACCAATATTTTTCATATTTGCATTTAAAATTAAATCCCCTTGTAAAATAAGTAATAGTAAAATTAAAAATGATTTAATTTATTTTAAATTTTCTTTAAATTAAGTTTCTGTCATAAAAACCTCACAAAATTAATGTACTAGTTCTTCCTGAAAACAAGATATGAATCAAAAGCTCTTTAGTATATTCAATATTTCCTTTTAAAACAGTTTATATGTGCATATTTCTTTCTCTTATTGAAAAATTTATTTTAGTCTCTGTGAATAAATTAAAGTTTCACCATTTGGATTAAGGAGTCCTCCTACTGGAGCAGTAAGTTATGTTTGGTTACTAACTACACAGGAACAAAGATTCCCAAGTCACACGACTGATGGATTGGTAGAGCAAGGGAGAGAATCCAAAGAGGGAGGTCAGGTTGAAGCGGAAGAGATTCTGGAGGGTTGGGTGATTATTATTTGCTACACAGGAACAAAGAACACAGGAACATTTCCTGTTTGGAAATACAAAGAACAGTTCTGCTTCGTCTTATAGGCTCAATATGAGTTGAAACAGATTTGATGGAAACAGGTGATTCCATATAGATTCCTTCCTTTTTTCCAAAAGTTTAGTAAGAAAAAACTTACCTATTTCTAAATATTCCTGCCTTTCCATATGCTTAAGAATTTAAAGATTTGAGTTCTAAGATTTATTTCACCATATAGAATGACATTAATACATTAAATTAATTTTCAAATTGTATAAAGAAGATAAAGCATTTAAGTAACCCCCCAAATACCAATCCACATTAAAATTGTAACTTTTAATATTTTTATTTAACTATCACAGCCTTCATAAGAATTGCTTAGATATACTCTCAAAATAAATCAGGAAAATGGACCCTACAGCAGAATTGTGTCCGAGCACTAGAGCAGTATCAAGGTTGACAAACCTCACACTATAATTGGTTTAAATGGTGGTAACTACGGAAACGGTTAAATTAACATCAGTGGCCTAAATCCAGGATTGGATGGGGCTATGAAAAACATGGTTTCTCTTTCAAAATACGCAGCCTTTATTTTTAGAATCCACAAGCAATGCCAAATGTCCTGTTCTCATAGGTTCTTCCTCCAACACTAAAATGGCACACATCCCGAGACATGTCAAAAACTCAACAACATTTTCTAGCATTACTTGTACTGCCTAGGACTGTACCATCACACTATATCATCTACTACAGGCCACAGAAATTGGGAACAACTTTTGGCAGAATCAGGCCTTTCCACTGGGTTCTCTTCTCAATTCTTAAAGGATTAGTACAAAGTGAGTGGAAGGAGGTAGAAAGGAGAGGAAGCTAAGGCAAGTCAAATATTTGCTCAATATCCAACGGTCCATACTCTTTAGAAAATAGTTATGCTAATTCTGTGCCAGGTGCATTAACTTTTTGTGTTTACCATAACACTAAACCCCTCAAAACCCAATGCACTGCCACTGGGTTGATCCTCACTCTTAGTGGCTCTGTAAAACCCAGTAAAACAAGGTTTCCCAGAATAAATCTTTGTGGGAGCAGATAGATCCACCTTTCTCATGTGGACTGGCTGCTTTGCCCAACATACAACAGACGGAGTACCAGGGCTCCTTCAACAGGACTAAGGCAGATACTATTGTCTTCATTTTCCTGGAACCTCTGTACTGTCTAGCATTCTGTTTCTAGGTAGATTTTAAAAACATTCCCAAGTCCATGCAGCTGCTGTGTGCCAGAGTTGGGATGTAAACCTACGATGATCTTTAGAAAGCATACTCTTGTGGCAGCAGCACGATACATATTTCCCAAGTCACACGACTGATGGAGTGGTAGACCCAAGGAGAGAATCCAAAGAGGGAGGTCAGGTCCAAGCAGAAGAGATTCTGGAGGCTTAGGTGACTATCTTTTGCAGATGGCTTTAAGAATGTCTCATTACTTTACAGTCACATTTCATCTAGTGATTCTATTTATTTACCTGGTAGATCAGAGAAGAGAAGAATGCACTCATTAAAGCCATTAGCCAAAAGCCGGTCTCGCAGCTGCTGAAGAATTGCTACTCCAATACAAAATGGAAAAGAGGAATTCCCAAGTAGTAATGTATCCCAAAGGTGAAAAATTTTGTGCAGGGGAAATACATCTGTAAAATGATAGAATTAATTAAATAACACAAGGTTCATAAAATTTAGAACAATAACACTTGTTATTATTTTATAGTCAAAAGTTTCTTTGGCTTTGTAAATGCATTTGCTTTGTAAGGCATCTTAAAGAAGAGATAATCAGAATGGCCAAACAGATGACATTTTCTAACCTTGGCATAGTTCTATTCCTTATATTTCTTCCCAGAATGTTTAGGCTATGCTATTCTCACAAGTTTACTTTCCTAAACGAATGTTAACATTATTCTATGCACAGTATTATATTTTTAGTAATACTCTAAACAATTGCTTTTTAGATTCTAATAAAAAAATTCTATTGCCAATTTTCCAATTTAAAAAATCTACTATTATACTGTGGACATTTTTCTAGGTCAATGCTTATAGATATACTTAAAATACTGTATTCCATTTATCATGTGTATTTATATAAGCAAGGATGTCTACTATAATTATATATATATTTGTATTGAATTGAGTATTACATGCTCACAAAATATGCTTAATTTCTATATTACTTTAGAAAATAACAAAATAATTAGTTATGAGAGAACTCTAAAATTTAAGACACATGCAGGAAAAGCTATCCTCCATAATGTTTTGCAATTAATATAGCAAATATTAGCTTATTTTTCAATAGAAGGCAGCAGTTATATAAAAGTCATGACATATGTACTTTCATTCTATAAAATTGTTTTTGATCTTCAGAGGTCAGAATAATTAAAATTATAGTATTTAAATATGTAAGACTGATGTTAAAATTATGTAAGGATGCTCATCAGTACTTAATACTATTGTCAATATAATAATGTGCTGGGTCGGAATGCAGCTATCTTTTGTCATATATACTATAATATCAAAAGGGAAGTGAAAATGATACTTACGAGTAAACATGGTGAGAAACCAAGGGATGGCATAAAGCTATGTGGGGAAAAGGAAAGGGACACAGGGATGAATACAGAAAATAAAAAAGATAATTAGAATGATTAGCAATAAACTCAACGGGGAGCAAAAAGTTATTATTTTCTGTTCCAGTGCATTAAATAGAGGAATGTAGAAAATTATAGTCATTACCACAAATACTGTATTACATAATGATACCTACCTACATATATATACAAGCTGTAGCTGACCCTTGTGCTTAGAGTTATCCCACACAATGCCTGTATTTCAATAAAGCCTACACCTAAGACTTGGAAAGCACTCAAAATGTTTCACAAAAGGTGTTATAAACTTTCCATTTTATGCTATCACTTTCTCAGTTAATAGGAAACTTTATAGTATAGACTGAAAGCAGTAAGATATAAGAACAGAATAATTTGGTTCTTTAGTTCAACAATGAATTTATTATCCTAAATTTACTGCTGGGGAAATGTGTTTGGGTGTATATACATAGTCTTAAATATTTTCAATTAGTTTTGGGATTTGGAAGTGAAATATCATGCTTAGTTTCTAAAAATTCGTATCTCCTTTCTTAGTAGCAAATATAAACAATCATTAAAAATTATAAAAAGAAAAAGCATCATTTTATTTTACTTTCTGAGTTATTAAGTCCAGTACTAAGCAAAAATTTAAGTCTGGTGTTTTTGAAACATATATAACATCAAACAGGTAAAATTCACAGTGAATAGGATACAATGAAAAATTTAAAATAATCAGTATTGCAAAAGAACAGAAACAAATTATCCATATTGGGGAGAGAAAAGCGACAAAGATCTGAGACACACATTTATAAGAGACAAAGACATTATACCAGTTATCAAATTGGGTTATATATGTTTAAGTAATTAAGGAATGAGTGAACATGTTAGGTAGAGACAAAAGTAGATACAGCATCTAACTTTTAAAGATAAAAAATACAATGTTTGAGGCAAAAAGTACACTGGATAAGACCAACAAGAGATAATACATAACAGAAGAAAAGATAACTAATCATAAAACAGCAACAGAAAATATTCAAAACGAACAAAATAAAAATAAATTAAAAAAAGAACACAGTATCAGTGAGCTGTGGAACAACTTCAAATAGCCATAAAATATGTGTGACTGGAAACCCTGAAATAAAGGTGTTTGGCTAGGGGACAAAAATGTTTGAAGAAATAATAGCTAATCATTTTCTATTTTTGATTTAAATTATAATAGATCCAAGAATCCCAAGCACAAGAACTACACAATTTCTCAAAATCTGAAGAACACTGGTGTACAGGGGTGTGTGTGTGTGTGTGTGTGTGTGTGTGTGTGTGTATGCTCCAGTCTAAGCCAACTCGAATATCAGCCAAGGCACCTAATTTTACCACAAAAACTGCATATAAAATGTGCTGAAAAACTGAGCTTATCCATGAGTATATATGGTATATATATCCCCAAATCTTTTTATTGGGAGGTAATACAGATATCCTATCATTCCATAGTTCAATTACATCAAGCAGTACTGTACAACTCTTTTGGGTATATATAACTGTGGGTTATATCTATCTGTGGGTTACAAATATCTGATTTATGGACAATTCCTACCTGCCCGTTGATATTGTATTCTCACTTGAAACAATTGGTCCTCACTTGAAACGACTGAGCCACTTCTACTTGCAACAAATACTTCAACATCATCACCTTCAAGGGCTGCACACAGACAGCTGCAGACGTTTTCGTACATTAACACAGAGCTAAGTAAGAACTGACCTGTTTTGACTTACCTACAAATTCTTAAAGACACAGAAATGGATCTTATTCAGACTCAAAGAACTACCTGTACCACAAGTAAAAATTCTAGGTCCTATCTTAGTTTTTTTTTTTTTTAGGGACCACACACTGCTTTGCACAAGGGCTGTACCATAATCTTTCTATCAGGAATGAAGAGTTCTAACATATTATTTATGTTTTCATTTTGTTTTGACTTGAATCACTGTCATCTTAGTGGGAGTGAAATAGCATCTCTTGTGGTTCTGACTTGCCTGCAACTCCTGACAGCTAATGATTGAGCATTTTCCCATGTGTTTGGGGCTATATAAATGTCTTCTTTTATAAAATGTCTATTCAAATCCTTTGCCCAACTCATGTCTGGATAGTTTGTCTTCTTGCTGTTGTCAAAATTTTAAATATATTTTAGGTGTGAGATTTTTGTCAGCTAAATGGTCTCTGAAGATATTTGTCAGTTGATAGCTTGTCTTTTCACTTTGTTGGTATCGTCTTTTGACTAAAAACAAGTTTTTAATTTTATAAGGTACATATATTTATTTTATCTTTCACTACATGTACTTTGGTCATTATACTGGATAATCCATGTGCCAGGCCTGACTGTGTTGTACCTATTTGTTCTTTTAATAACTGCGTGGGTTTAATATGCACAGTTAGGTCCTCAATACATTTTGAATTTGTTTTGAATATGCTATTAGGCATGGATCTTGTATCATTTTTCTCTCTGTGGAAAATTCAAATTTCCCACACTGTTTATTGAAGAGAATTTTCTTTCCCCATCAAATGAACTTATCCCCCTTTACAAATATCAGTTTTCTGAGAATGTTTGATTCCACCCTTATTGTTGAAGGACAGTTGTGCTGAGTATAGTATTCTTGATTGACAGGTACTTTTTTTTTCTATCTTTCAGTTAACTCTACTATTCTATTGGCCTTCTGGCCTCCAATGTTTCTGAAGAAAGATACACATTTAATCTTAGTGGTGATCCTTTGAATGTGACTGTTCTCTTTTCTCTCACTGCTTTCCAACTACTCCTGTCTTGAGAGCCTAACTAAAATGTTAACTTGATGTGGATCTTAAACAAGAGTTTGTTATTCAAAGTACTATGGAAAAGATATTTTGAGTTGGATAATACTTTGTTGTGGGGAACTGCCCTTTGCATTGTAGGAAGTTTGCAGTATCATTGATCTCTCACTTCTAGATGCACTTCTCAAATTGTAACAAAAACGTATCCAGAAACTTCAAAATTGCCTGGGTGATGTCAAAACTGTATGTCAAAAGTTTTGAAAATAGTATCATATTTTGAAAATATAAATAGTTTTATTATTGTAAATAATAATGTCAACATGAAATTAAGGGAGTAGGCTACATTTCTATGTGCTTCCCTACACACATTCTATTCCTCAGTCAAGACAGATGGTATACAATGACCTGAGCACACATTGCTTTTCTATTGATGTGTTTTTGTCCTTTTTAATTGTTCTTTTCCTACCTTATCCATTGATCAAAGCTTTGTAAATTTTTCCAAAACTTACTTAGAATGTTATTTCTTCTATGAAATCTTTTGAACTTTAAACATTTCATCTATTCTACTATGTTCTGTATCACATCACATAGTATAATTGAATCACATATAATTTCATAATAATATATTATAATTACAATATTATATTTTATTGTAATTGATTGGGGGTATTTAACAAATATCTCATTTGTTCTTGCTTTCATTAATTTATTCAATATGAAATGCTTTCACCCAGACATGCTTTCTGCTATAGTCAGATATGTGAGCAAATACTTACAGTTAGGCACTGTAATAAAGTTTTATGACACGGTAATGGCAGCAAGCATTTAAAGAGTCTATCGTTTTTTCTACCATCATCTGTCCAGAAAAATACTCTTCTTGAGAATAACTGTTATCTCATTTTTTCATTAATTCATAAACATTTATGGAGTCCCTAATTCGTGTCAAATAATGTTGAGTGATAGGATATGATGTTGTTGTTAGTTTCTGTGGAGTCAATTCTGACTCCCAGTCACCCCTAAGTATAACAGGCCACCCAGTTGACCCTGCACCATTCTCACATTTGTTCCTATATTTGAGCCCATTGTTGCAGCCACTGTGGCAACCCATTTCATGGATGACCTTCCCCTTTTTTGCTGCCCCTGTACTTTTTTGACAGGTAGTAAAGAGCAAATCACAGCATGGAGGAAAAGTATGTATATTCAGTAAGAATGGTAGGTATTCTTTATATAGGCCACTCCAATTAAGTTTTTACCTCCACATCACGACCCAAACTATTCTTCCTTTGGTTTTCAATGATTTCCATGTCGCTTAATTTAGTGGTCAATTTCCAATAGCCAAATCGTTTCTGTTTTGTTTTGTTTTTCTTAAAAAAAAAACCAAACATTCTGCAATGTTTGCTATGATGACTACTTTCATACCTCTTCAAAATCCATTTCTATTAGAACACATGGGTCTCAAGACACCGCACTCACGTACTTTTCTTACCATCCTTTTCTTTTTTGCCATTTCTCTTGTCTTTATTTCCTTTTAAACTTTACAGTGCCCTGAGTTTTTTTCTCTTTTCTGTTTTTTTCCAAACATAACAATGTGAAATCTTGCGCAGTCATATCTCTACCTCAGACTCTGAATCCTAAATGCATATGAAAAATTGTCTACTAGCTACCTGTATGTCCACTTGCATATATATGACACATATATGAGGGAGCAGTATTTTAGTGTGTTTTTCCTTTCTCTTCCTATAGATATACCCAGGGCCAAGACAACTTCCTTGCACTTAGTAGGCACTCAATATTTGCTGAAAGAATGAGTCAAGTATCCAAAGAAATTAACAGAAGGGAGTGACTAAACAGGTGCAAAGAGTCATCAAAGAGATAGTGAAATCATACACTCCCTTGAGAAGTTTCAACAAACATAAAATAATGAGAAAACTGTTCATCTTCTTTGGTAATTTTTTTAGAAGATACTTTCTATTAAATAGTGGAAAATATTAAAACAATGAAATACTAAACTCGAAAGTTTGTTATATTTATTGTTGATAAGCATTGTGAAACATGCTAGTAAAAATAAGTCAAATAGAAATATGTGTGGATAACATCTGATAATAATTGATTAAAGTTAAATAAAGTTCTTAAGTATAATATATAACAACTCCTACTAGGTGTTCATAAAAGAAACCCCAGTGAGACAGTAGTTAAGCCCT